CTGTGGCTCAAGTGGTAGAGCGCTAGCCTTGAGCTGAAGAGCTGAGGGACAGCGCCCAGGCCCAGAGTTCAGGCCCCATGACCGGACCCCCCCCACCGAAAAAAAAATAAAAATAAAACTTTCAAGCCGGACAGTGTCCAGCGAGGTCCTGGGATTGACCAACAGATCTCACTTGTTCATTTCAATTAAGCATGTTTGCTTTTACCCTGCTTTCTGGAGGGGGTGGGGAAGAGGGTATACCATTTGCTTTTGTGGGCGGCAGATTCTTCACAAAACTTAGGGCAGAAGCCTCATCAGATCACACAATGACTTAAATACAATGGATGATAAAACAGGACCAGCTGAGTGTTTCTTCAGAGCAACTGAGCTGTATGATGTAGATGTGGGTGAACATTTAAATTTTGGGGTTTGGGGAAATAGCTTCTAATTTTAAAACTTTTTATGATAATTTTTGACTGCGCTTGGTCAAAACAACATGTCATAAATCCACAAATAAGGAGAACTTCCTGTAGTTGTGTCTGATGATGTACAGTCATACTTGTTCTCCACATATTTCTTGATTGACGCCTAGCTGCCAAGCTTCCTAGGGGGTAAGGGGTACAGTCCCCATTATGAGGAGCTACAACCTCTTGGGGGTAATGGGGGAACCACAGAGTCAGAGGCCTCGAGGTGCAATTCCTGTCCGGAGGACAGTGATGACCATGGTTACCCCGCTGCCTGGATTCACAGGGTTCTCTAGGGCAGATGACAGCTAGTGCGGCCAGCTCTTGAAGATGGCTAGAGACCAGGCCATGTGGAGGGAAGAACATTCTAGACAAAAAGCAGAGCATGCAAACCAGGCCAAGCCTGTCAAAATACCAGGAATGGTATAGTGTGCTGGGCTTTGAGGCTGAGAGAGGCAAACAAGAACTAGAAAGTTCGATGACAATGATTTGGGAAGAACTTCTATGCACAAGAAGCTTTTGGGACCTGACCCTATTGTAGACAGTAGGTGACCCGGCAAGAAAGACTTTTACACCATTTTCTATGACCAGTTCTGGGCCAATATGGTGGGGAGGAGAGGTGGTTAGTCTACGCCTCTTCAATGCCAGTTCAAGCAGTACCATTCATCCATCCATCCATTCATTCATAGAATACTTTTGCCCCCTATGTCTGTTGATCAGGTGCTGCTTTTTCTGCCAAACGCTGTGTTTGTGAGTTGTAGTTCTGTTAGCCTTCTGCCTCATTTGTCGCAATAGTTGATGTAACTCCTAAACTTACCAGCTGTTGAACTCAAGGTATTTATCTACCCTTAGGGGATATGGTCTCATTAAGCTCATTGTGAATGCTACCACAGGCTGCTGCTTTCATGCTTGAGCAGAAGAAGCTTTTGTCTGTTGGTGTTATACATACATATATATATATATATATATATATATATATATATTATAGATACTGTCTTTAGTTTTAGGAATATAAAATCTTAGAGTCTCATCTAAGCTGTTATCCATTTTGATTTCTTCTTTTTATATAGAAGGTATTTATGCCCCCCCCCGCAAAAACCCCAAAGCTAAATGTGTCACATGGCTAGGTAATATTTGATAGATTTTGAGTGTGGCACACAGGCTGTCTATAATCCTAAGATGTCATGTCTATAAACATTGAGATGACATCTCCACATCTCTTGTCTCTCCACCCTCACTTGCCTTTACTGCTCGCTGAAGTCTCACTTTGGGAATCATTTTTTTTCACGGTAACCCCCAGGATCTGTTGATCTGATGTTGTGGTAGGCAGTGAGAATAAACAGCCCAAACTGCTGGAGAATATTCAGTGTCATAGTTTAACAATGAACCATAGCACCCCCACCAAAACTAAACTTATAAGGGTTGTCATCCCCCAGCCTCTAATCAAATGGACACATGCAGCCCTAGCTAAGAGTCCCAGGAAGGACAATGAAGCCCTGGGTAGGTGTTTAGTAGAGGAAGCCTCGCCCCCTCACATGGCCCAGGCTCTGAGTTGACCTTGTTGTATTCACAGACAGCGGCTCCATCCGCAGCCTACAGACAGGTGTGGGAGAGCTACATGGGGAAACCAGATTCTGGCACGGCAAAGACTACTGTAATTTTGTCTTCAAAGACTGGGTTCAACTGGATAAGCCTTTTGCTGGTGAGAATCGTTGTTCTGGGCTGCAGGTTGTATTTAATCTTTTACTCTTGAGCATCTCAAAGGGTATGCATGTGTAGGATCTAAATGCTTTTAGGTTATTCTGTGTTTTGTCTTTGTTTTTGAAAGTTTGAGCTGGGCACTAGTGGCACACACCTGTTATCCTAGCTACTCAGGAGGCTGAGATCTGAGGATCACAGTTCAAAGCCAGCCCAAGCAGAAAAGTTAGTAAGACTCCTATCTCCAATTAACAAGCAAAAAGCCAGAAGTGGAGTGGAGCTGTAGTTCAAATGGTAAAGCTCCAACTTTGAGCAAAAAACTATGTGAGAGGGCAAGACCCTGAATTCAAGCTCCGGTACTAGTGTGCACATGTACATGTGCGCATGTGTGCACACACACGTACACACATACACCCACCCCCCACACGTACACATACACCAAAGAATGAAAAGGAAGTTTGATTCAATTTTGTAAACATGATTTGGTCACTTAAAGAAATTTCCTTATAGTAGTAATAATAATAACAGTAATAATAATATTACAAAGTAAAGTTGGCCTGTCTGAAAGCTAACACCCTACAGGTTTCCAGTAAGCATAGGTTAGTCTCCAGGACATGATAGCCATTCTCCATTTAGCTTCCTTATGCCCTTCTGTCCTTTGGAATGGCCGATTTTCACCTCATAATTGTGTTTAGGGTCTAAGAGCCTATATAGGCTATACAAGCCTATAGACTATATAGGTACTGCCTATATAGTCTGCCATTATTTTAACAGAACAAACAAGAAAAATAAATTCAATACACAGCCTTGGATAACGAATCTAACTCACCTTGCCTGTTGATTGACAATGCATGAAACGGGAAAGTTGGTGGAGCCTATTCCTCAGTTTAAGGCTTGTGTTTGCTTAATTAGAAAAGTGCCATTCTAGCCAAGCCAAGAAATATGTGCATAGTGAACGTGAACACTTTTTATGATATCACTTAGATGTGACCGTGGGCCAGAGGGCTTCTGTCCCCGACAGAGAGGGCAGTGATGGATTGCTGCCTGGTGTGCCTGGGCAGATTTCATTGACAGGTATGCCACTCCACGCATGCCCTGGCATGACATTGCCTCCGCCGTCCATGGAAGGGCAGCTCGAGACGTGGCCAGGCACTTCATCCAGCGCTGGAACTTCACCAAGGTACTGGTTGTGTCACAGCTTCTCTGTCCACCTGGGTGGTCCATGGGCGGTCCCAGCTAGAGGGGAATTGCAGAGGGTTGGAAAGAGAAGGCTACTGTAGTCATTGCTGTGACATCATCTCCCACTGGATACATCACTGTCAGCGTGCCCAAGCCTCAGGGCATTAACGAAAGGAAAATATTCCTGAACTTCCATCCCACAGATGATTCAGAGTGCAGAGACACACCTGCTGATCCAAAGCCTCTTCCTTTAACCTCTTAGATGTGCAGTAATGGTTAAGCATTTACCCCGCTTGGCTCAGTAGATGATTGGAAGGATCTGGGAGCCCTGTTCAGATGAGGGGGCTGGAACTTCCAGTCTTAGAGCTGCACTGGGAAGGGTACTGAGAGCTGGTTCTGAGCAAGCTGAGCAGGGTGAGGGGGAGCCATTTTTCTTTTCTCCAGATGGATAATGTCATCTTTAGTTGCCCTTCATTGCTTGTGAGAACTGACCCCAAGGAGCACAAGTCCAGTGGGGTCAAACCCCACTTTGTTTACACTCAGTGATTCGGTTTATTCTCCCCGCCCCCCAGCCTGATAAGCTGGAAAAAGTTATATAAACAACACTTACCATTCATATATAACATTATAAAAACATAATAGAAGCTAAGAGGAAGCAAAGGAAGGAATGACACTGTCCAGAAAGAAATGTACTCATCATCTGACTGACTTACATAACCATAAAAATAAAATTAAAAAAATATATAATGCAAATACTTTATGCAAAAGCTTAGAGGATGTGGGAAAATAAACTACAATTACCTTTTATTTAAGTACTGTCAAAAGAATGCTAATCTTTTCTGTTGGATTTAGGTTTAAAAAATAAGCTGATATTCTATACTAGGGAAGATAAATTGGTACAGCCTGAGTGAGTTTGTTTTTTAAGTATTTAGTCTTTAACCTAGAGAAACCTAGAAATATCTAGAAACCTAGAGATAAGTGTTGGCCTGGCACTGATGGCTCACACCTATAACCTAGCTAGCTACACAGGAAGCTGAGAACTGAGGATCCAAGTTTGAAGTCAACCCTGGCAGAAAAGTCCAGCCAACCAGCAAAAAGTTGGTATTGCAGCTGTGGCTAACTGGTAGAGCATCAGCCTTGAGCATGAAAGCCAAGCAAAGAGCATGAACCTGAGTTCAAGCCCCCGCACCAACACACAGAGGAAAAAAAGAAGAGATAAGTCTAGTAAAGTTACGTCTTTTGACATTTTTTTTGTTTTTTTGTTTGTTTTTTTTTTGGGGGGGTCTGGTCGTGGGGCCTGAACTCTGGGCCTGGGCGCTGTCCCTCAGCTCTTCAGCTCAAGGCAAGCACTCTACCACTTGAGCTACAGCGCCACTTCCGGTTTTCTGGTGGTTTATTGGAGATAGGAGTCTCACGGTCTCTCCTGCCCGGGCTGGCTTTGAACTGCAATCCTCAGATCTCAGCCTCCTGAGTAGCTAGGATTACAGGCGTGAGCCACCAGCGCCCGGCTCCCAGTAAGATTTTTTTTTTAATTTATTTTATTTTTTTTTGGGTCCGGTCATGGGGCCTGAACTCTGGGCCTGGGCACTGTCCCTCAGCTCTTCAGCTCAAGGCTAGTGCTCTACCACTTGAGCCACAGCGCCACTTCCGGCTTTTTTGTTTTTGCTTATGTGGTGCTGAGGAATTGAACCCAGGGCCTCAGGCATGCAAGGCAAGCGCTTTAACCACTGAGCCACCTTCCCAGTCCCCCCCCCAGTAAGATTTTTAAAGGGACTTTTCCTGCCCTGGAAATGGATATTGTCTGTAAGATTATGATGCTATGATTTGACGTTATCTGTCAGCAATCATAAAGGGCAAGTGTGAAGAATGGCAGAAAAACTGACTAGTGCACTGTATTAGTCAACTTTGTGTTACTGTAAATCAATACATGCTTGCTACAAGGGATAAAGGAAGGAAATAGAAAATAAAAATAAGTAATCTATAATCCTTAGAGATGTCCCTTGATTTTCTTTAACCCTAAAGGAGCCTGAATTTCTTTTATAATTACAAAATAGGGAAGAATGGACTCTCATGTGAATCTTCTTCATCTGTTTTTTTTTCCCCTCTATTTTAGATTATGAAACCAAAATATCGGTCTCTTTCTTATCCTTTCCTGCTTCCAAAGTCTCAAACTACTGCCCACGAGCTGAGGTATCAGGTTCCTGGAGCAGTACATGCTACTGTGCAGGTAAGCTGGCCTTTGCATTTCTGCCGCTTGCTACTGAATACGTGACTGGGAGCTGACTAGCCTACTTTGGCTCTGACTTTTATATCAGGACTTTTCCAATACAAATCTAATTAGGTCTTTGTAGGATTAACTTTCCTATTTTAATTGTATTCAGTTCATTTTCTCTCTGAAACTCATTTTTACAAATAATAACTGCATCTCCTCAGATGGGTCAAGGAATGATTTTCCCATAATTCTGTGGGAAGGGACCTACACCTTACTCATTAAACCTGGCACTGCTTCTGCATCAGGTGTGCAGCTGAACCATGCTCCATGGAGGTTAGTTACAGTCCAGTCTAATGTTAGTTCTTAATTGAAAGTCATGCTAGGAGTCTTTTAGTGGAATAGGAATTTGCTTATTGGAGTCATAACAATCTGCACATCCAGTCTAATCATTTCAACTTACAAATCAGAAAGTTCAGACCCAGTGGTACTGTGAGGATAATCTATTAGGAAATTAAATAATAAATAAATAAATAAAATTTAAATATGTTGGGATTTTAGCAGGTTTATTGCATAACATAATTTACAGGCCATGAGCTTACTTATATGGGAGGAAATAGTATGATGTGGCAATTAAAAGAGAGCTTATAAACCAGGTGCTGGTGGCTAACCCCTGTAATCCTCAGGAGACTGAGATCTGAGAATTGAAGTTCAAAGCCAGCTCAGGCAGAAAAGTTTAACTACTTTCAGTTAAACAGCAAAAAGGAAGCGGGACTGGAAATTGAGTAGCTAGAATTACAGTGGTAGAGCACCAGCTTTGAATGGAAAAAGCCAAGTGAGAGCTCAAGGCCTTGAGTTCAAGCCCTAGTACTAGCCAGGAAAAAAAAAAAAGAAAAAAATAGATTCTAAAATCAGGCGATATTAAAATCCCAACTCTGCTGCTTAATCCTAGGGAAATGGCCTCTCTTCTCATAGGTTCCCTTTGTTTACAGATTGGGGATAATGGTAGTGATTGATGGGAAGTGATGGGTAAATAATTTCTTGTACTCAAAACACTGAGCCAAGTGCACTAGTTGTACTCTGTAAGTATCAGCTCTGCCATACTTTCCTTTCATCTTTCAAGAGTTTGCCACAAAGAAATTGACATTTCTCTGCTAGATCCCTTGGCTAGTTTTTGACTTTATATATTTATAGAGATATATAGATATATCTGTGTGTGTGTGTGTGTGTGTGTGTGTGTATCATGTGCTTATTGTAATGGAGTGAAACTCAACACAAAGAAAATAATAGACAAGAATTCAAGTCAATCTTTCATTGACAGTAGGTACCTAGTTATTTCCAGTTTAAATGTATTACAGCATTGTTATCTGGGACAGTGGCTCAGCCAATCAGGGGAGAGCAGAGGCCCGCCCCACCAACATGAGTTGCTGCTGGAAAAAGTCCGCCAGAGCTAAGAGCTGACAACGCAGCTTTCACCAACACTTTAAAAATAGTCCTGGCTTTTCCCCTTCAGAACCAGGCCTTCTCCAGAGCCTGCCAGGATCAGTCATACAAGCAGCAGGTGTGGGAGAAAGGGGAAGAGGTGGTTCCCAGCCTATTTTCTTTCTAATAAAAATAGACTAGTTCCTCAAAGCTCTTGTTGGCATTTAAGACACAATACCAAGGGGATAGAGGCTTGGTAGAGTGCCTGTCTAGCAAGTGTAAGTCCTGAGTTCAGTCCCTAGTGCCCCAAAAGAAAAAAAAATAAAGAAACAAGCAAGCAGCAATACCAAGAGAGACAAGGGGCAGTCTTTAAGGTGAGAGAAAATTCAAATGTAAGTCAGCATTGACATAATAAATTGGGGTGATTCGTTAGTGTGTGTGCCAGTCCTGGGGCTTGAACTCAAGGCCTGGCTGCAAGTCCTGGGCTTTGTACTTAAGGCTATTACTGTACCCTTTGACTCATAGCTCCACTTCCAGCTTTTTTTTGGTTAATTGGAGATAAGTCTCATAGACTTTCCTGTCCAGGCTGTCTTAGAACTCTGATCCTCAGACCTCAGCCTCCTGAGTAGCTGGGATTACAGGTCTGAGCCAGCAGGAATGAGCCTTCTTACTAAATTGGTCAACTTAAAACAAATCATCTCTACTGAGATGGACATCTTTTTTTTTCCTGCCAAGGGCAATTGGAATATAACATCATTACAGGCCATAGGGAATGATCGATACAGGCAGATGGTCAAAGACAGCTGACAGAAAGCTCAGTATCTGCTCTGTCATGTACCAAATAGTTCACTGGCCTTATTGGGCTGTGGGCTGACAATGTGTTAGCAATCGCTAGCTAAATAGAAGAAAACTCCACTGGAATCATCTTCAATCTTGTTTATGTTATGGGAGGGAAGAAAGGAGGGAGAGATGGAAGAAGGAAAAGGAGGAAGGAAGAGAAGGAAGGAGATAGGGAAGGATGAAGGAAGGGAGGAGAGACAGAGGGAAGCAGGCAGGGAGGGAAAGGAGGGGAAGGAAGAAGAGGAAAGGGATAGGGAAAGGAGTCCATTTATCCTTAACACTCTGTTCCTCATTTGAGTTGGAAGCTTAGAGAAATAAAGAATTAAAATAAGACAAGTGGGTGCACATCAGGAATCCAAGCACTCCGGATGCCTAAGCAGGAGAATCTGGAGTTCCAAGCTAGCCTGAGCTATGTATCAAGACCCTATTTCAAAACACAAAGTAAGACATCAATAGATGCACTGAGTTTATAAGACAAAGCAGAAGCATTCCAGAGAGAAAAGAAGAAGAAATAGGACAGAAGAATGGTTCTGAAAGTTTTTCTTCAAGAGGAGATTTCTCCTAAGTAGACTATATATTTGCGCCAAGCCCATTGTATGACAGCGGATTAGGTATGCAGTTAAGGAGAAGGTTAGGTTTTAAGTTCAAACACTGGACACAGGCCAAAGGGAAAGAACTGGTCCTAGTGACAATTTTGAGACTCTTCCATGAAATGAGAGCTATGCTATTATCATGTATTTTAAAGCAGTGTTCAGATTTGAGGCTGGGAAAGTGTGGTTTCCCTTGAAGTAGTTAACATAAGCCACATTTCTGCACATAGTCTGAGTTGTAATTGACTGAGTTAGGTTGCCTTAAAACAGGCAAGCAGGGCAAGCTTGTCAGGTCAATAAACACAAAAGGAGGGAATACATCTTCAATTGAAGTCAGGCACCCTTGGCACCTGTAATCCTAGCTAATCAGGAGGCTGAGATCTAAGGATCAAGTTTCAAAGACAGCCTGGGCAGAAAAAAAAAATCTCTTGAGACGTTCATCTCCAGCTGACCAGTAAAATGCTGGAAGTGGAGGTGTGGCTCAAGTGGTAATCAGACTGTGTTTACTTATATGAATATTGATAAACCTTGAGAGACCTTCAAGCATTTAAAGTGGTTCAGGTGGTATTTCCATAACCCTGGAGTTTCAATGGTGCAGGACAAGAAGGAATAATGCCCGAGTTTTCAGTGTGAATGAAGGATTCGGGTTTGGACTCTGACAATGGGCTAGAGAAGAGTCTTGAGCGCCCCCCTCCCCAACCCCCATGGAGATGGGAGAACTCTGAACTACACTGGGTATCAGAGGAATCAGGGGACCCTCCTCTTCAGTTTATGCTCTGTCACACGCTGATACAGGGACAGATCTTATACAGTACAGCCTGACTTGTTTTTAGACATGGCTAGAAAGAGAAATGGTTACCTCTACTCTTTAGGGAAAATGGCCAGTCCACGCATGGCAGGTGGGGCCATCAGGCTGAGCTCATCCCAACTGGCCCTGTCCAGGAGCCTCTCTTCCACCTAGCTGTCCAGGAAGCTATTCCAAGTTGTGTAGCCATGACATGCAACTTAACCCCCTACTTCATGCTCCTAAATTTTATCTTTTGTGAATGCATTAATTGATCTTTTGAATAAAGCAAATTTCAAGAGAGTAAGAAAGGAAGTGTAGAGTTTCTGGATTTGAGGGGAAGGCTGGCATGGGCCCATCAGTGCCATTGTATGACCTTGCTTCTAACTTTACAGTCAGAGACGCAGCACATGTAGAAGCTAGCCTGAAAGCCTAGCTACTCAGGATGCTAAGATCTGAGAATCACAGTTTGAAGCCAGCCTGTGCAAAGAAAGTCCAAGCGACTCTTATGTCCAATTAACAGCAAAAATCTGGAATTGGAGGTATAGCTCTACTGGTAGAGCTCCAGCCTCTTAAGCAAAAGAGTTGAGTGAAAGCATATGGTTCTGAGTTCAAGCCCCAGTACACACACACACACACACACACACACACATACCCTGCACACACACAAAAAGGAATATCACTGCTAAAAGCACATTTCATGATCAGCCCATTGTGTTTATGGTGCTATTCTTTTTCTTCATGGTAGTGGAATTGAGGCGGAAAGAAAGAGAAGTATCTCTAATGGTCTCTTGTGGGAAACGGAGCCCGATGACTTGGGCGTGACACATCCAGGATAAAAGTGCAAGGAACTGTAAAGCTGAAGCGGTCTCCAGGCCCTGTCTCCCCAATCCTGCAAAACTCCGTATGTTATTTCTTCTGCAGAGCTAGATCAGGCTGGGGGCCATCACAGCTTGCCCCACTGGCTGCATTTTCTGCTTTGTGCTCCTTAGCAACAAGATTCTGTTTGTTCAACCTTTGTTATTTCTACCTGATGGGCAGTAGTACAGCTCCTAAAAAATGACATAAAAATCAAGATATTTTCTTAGGCTGGATCTTTTTTTCCTCGTAATTTATAAGTGTCTTCAGTATCTTTCAGCTTCCTGTTCATGATTCAATTTTCCAATTCATTGTGCATGCACATACACACACACATACACACTCACACAATGAAATTAAATGGCTTGATGGGAAATATTTCATGATAACTATCTTGTGCTGAACAAAGATAAAATGTTATTGAGTATGGCATTATTGATCATGTCAAGTGCTAGTTTTAAATTTCAATAGGCGGATTAAATACAATTTTAAATGATCAATTAGAGCAATCATTTTACCAGCCTTTTAAAATAGATAATAGACATAAAACTGATTCTGTATTATTTTATTTATTCCTAGTAAGCAAGGAGGCATTCTTTTTACTTTAAATTTTTTTTTTTATTTTAGTTGACCTTATGAGTGTCCATCTCAACATTCAGTTGAAATCAGAAATAGCAGATCTATTTTTAGAGTGACTGCTGGGCTGTCATGCTATCATTTAAGAAAAGTCAGTAATTTTTTTTGGAGCCGATGTCAGACTGTGACACTGGTTAGAATATGGGAAAGAATGACACCCAGCAGTGGCTCAGGGCTGAGAAAGCCATGGGACACCAGCCATAGCCTCCAGTCACCCTGCTTTGCAACCATAGCCCTTCAACAGCGTCTCTGTTGCAATCTGCCATGGCCCAAACAAGTCCTCTAATGTAGTCATTAATAATAACAGGACTTTCCTGCCAGCCACCCACCGGCCTTGCACTTCACAATAATTCGTTTAATCCTTCTTCCACCAATTGCCCAGCAAAAAGCCAGAAGTGGATGTGTGGCTTATGAGGTAGAGTGTGCTAGTCTTAAGCAGTAAAGCTAAGGGACAGTGTGCAGCCCTGAGTTTGAGCCCCAGGAACAACACACAGACACACACACACACACACACACACACACACACACACACAAGATCAATAGCTAATTAAAGACAGAATCCAGATAGCATGACCAAAATGAACCATTTTTTAGAGTATATAAATCTAGATGATCATACTGTGTGGTCCAAACTAGAACACTTGAGGGAACGTGGATATTAGAGAATATTCCAGAACAGCAAGCTTCTGTTTCGATCGGGGCTATACAAGACAGAGGACTTGTGGTGATGTGACTTAGAGCTACCCGAAGGGGAAGTTTTGGGGTACTCCTTGTAGAAACGACATACCTTGTGATGTGATTTGGGATGGAAATAATTCTGGGTGGAAGAGAGTATATTCAGGGTGTGCTTTCTAGCTGGACTCCTTTCTCGGGGAATAGATCCACGGACCAGTTCCCCTCCCATCTTTTCTCCAGCTGCAGCAGCCCCACCCTGGGACACCTCCTTTGTCTCCCTGTGACTTAAGCTGCAGTAATTGCTGAGTTGTTCGGAAGAGACAGGGTGGCTCCATTGGCTCCAGGCAGCTGGCGCATGTCCGTGGTCTGGTGAGGCTCTTTGCTGATTGCTGCTGTCTTGTAGTTGCTCCGCTCAGCTGCTGACTGGTCCGCTGGAATCAAGTACCACGAAGAGTCCATCCACTCTGCTTACATCAGTGTCATCCAGAGCAGCAAGCACTACATCTACATCGAAGTAAGTTCTCGTGTGAACTCCTGTGGGACCGCTCATCACCCAGAGGCTGCCGGCTCCCCCTCACAGGGCTGCCATATTATCGTGTGCAGAATTCATAAGATAACGAGTGCTGATTCAGATGGCCTGAATTTTGACCTTCCACTGTACCTCAAGCCTACCCTGCATCGTCATTAATACTAGATAGCTAGACATTAGGGGCTCACGCCTGCAATCCTTGCTACTTGGGAGGCTGAGATCTGTATCGAGTTTCAAGACCAGTCTAGACAGAAAAGTCCATGAGCCTTTTATCTCCAATTAGCTAGCAAAAAGCCAACAGTGGAGATGTGGCTCAAGTGGTAGAGGACCAGCCTTGAGCAAAAAGCCAATGGTCAGTGCTCAGTACATACACACACACACACACACACACACACACACACACACATACCTCTAGTGGGAGTTTCCCAAATCTTTTCTAGCAATATTGCTGGGATAGTCTGTGCCAGAAGCACCCCAACCTAAGATGTGCACGCTTTGGTTTGGCTCTGGCTGGAGAGTTGAGCCTGTGCCATTCCCTTAGGAGAGCATACACAGGGTAGGTAGCTAATAGGGAAGCCTCTCTGCTTGAGAGAGGCAGAAGAATGAATGCACGGGACAATATGAAAAAGGAAATAGTGAGACTGCTCAAAAACCAGAGAGTAGGGTCTTTGACCCAGGGTGAGCCATCACTCCTTAGAAAGCCTTTACAAGCGGGGCACCAGCAGCTCGTGCCTGTAATCCTGTCTACTCAGGAAGCTGACATCACAGCTTGAAGCCAGCCTGAGCAAGAAAGTCTGTGAGACTTATCTCCAAAAATAACCAGCAAATGTCCAGAGTGGGGACTGTGGCTCCAGTGGTAAGAGTACCAGCCTTGAGTGTAAAAAACTAAAGAACAATGCCCAGGCCCTGGGTTCAAGCTATAATATTATCACACACAAAATAAAAGGGGGGGGAACCTCTTTTCAGTTCCCAGACTTTGAGTGTGAGAAAATCTGGGAACACCGAGTTTAGTTTGAAAACTTTAATTGCCCATCAAAGTAGACGTAAAAATAGCACTCAGAGCACTTGAAAACTCCTGAGAAAAATAAAGGATGGTGACAGCAGAAGATGGAAACCAGACCCATCTCTTTATTCCCCTGCTCTCTTCCCATTGAAGAAGAAAAGTGTTTAGAGCAAGATAGATTTCACGGGGGAGACCCATCCTAGCCCCAGATTCCCCCCCCCCGGCTCCTGACAGTCTCCCCTCCATGCCGTGGCAGCTGATTGCAGGCCCGCTGGGAGGATGGAGCTTTAATTCTCAGGCCTGGAGAAGGAGAACACTGATGAATGATACTAGCAGCCCAGAGTCATGTGCTAAACCTGACAAGATCACACAGTAGATACAGGCACTGGGAATGGGCCGTGAATGCTGCATAAAGCCTTGCCTTTGGTACCACTATTCGTGTTAACTTTGGCATCTTCCAATGGCATCTGGCTCACCTGTTTTTATTAGCATCAATACCAGGTTTTTTTTAGTGGTCCTGAGATTTGAACTAAGGGCTTTACACTTGCCAGGTGAGTGCTTTACCACTGAGCCATACCTCTAGTCATTTCTTGTACTGTTTATTGTTGAGATGGGGTCTCATTTTCTGCCTAGGAATGTCCCTGGACTGTAATACTCCCATTTGTGGCTTCCTGCCATGGCTTGTATGATAGGGGACCACCACCATGTCCAGCTTCTTTCTGCTGAGATAGATTCTCACAGACTTTTAGGCCCAGGCTGGCTTCAAAATTCTGTCCTCCAGAGCTGGGCAGGTAGCTCAGTGATAGAGTGTTTGCCTTGCATGCATGAGGCCTGGGTTCGATTCCTCAGCATCACATGAGCAGAAAAAGCCAGACATGGCGCTGTGGCTCAAGTGGTAGAGCACTAGCCTTGAGCTGAAGAGCTGAGGGACAGCGCCCAGGCCCAGAGTTCAGGCCCCACAATGAACAAAATAAATAAATAAATACAGGCATAGTCCTGTAATTTCTGGTTGACCTGTAAGCATCCTACTCTCAGACTCCCGTATAACAACAGACGTGCCACTGTGCTGAGCTGCAGCTTGAGAAGGCTGGCCTCAAACTGTAATCCTCCCAACTTCAGCCTCCAACATAGCTAGGATTATAGACACAAGAAGTGATTTACTATGAGATATAATGCTTCCCAATTGAGCTTTTTTGTTTTTTTTTTTTTGGTCAGTCTTGGGGCCTGAACTCTGGGCCTGGGTGCTGTCCCTCAGCTCTTCAGCTCAAGGCTAGCGCTCTACCACTTGAGCCACAGCACCACTTCCAGCTTTTTTCTGCTTATGTGGTGCTGAGAAATTGAACTCAGGGCTTCATGCATGCAAGGCAAGTACTCTACCACTGAGCCACCTTCCCAGCCCCAATTGAGCTATTTTAGTCATAAATATGTACACAATATGTGAATGGTAAAAAATGTATTTGGAGATGTGCTTTTTTCAAAAAAAAATTTAGAACTTGGCATCATGAAGTAATCTCTCAGTTGACGAAGAGTCTATGAATGGCTAATGACTTAGAAAAGCAGGAGGCTGGGTGCTGGTAGCTCATGCTTATAATTCTAGATACTGAGGAGGTTGAGATCTGAGGATTGTGGCTCAAAGCCAGCTTAGGCAGCAAGAAGCCAGAAGTGGAACTGTGGCTCAAATGGTAGAACACCAGCCTTGAGCAAAAAAGCCAGATAAAAACACAAAGCACTGATTTTGAGTCCCAGTACCAACACATACACATACACAGCCCACACACTCCACACGCACATGCAATCCAGAGTCAGATGTTCTAGTGTTCACTTTCCTGACACATTTCAGGGTAAGGCAATTTTATTAGCAATGTAGGTTTTTTGATGTTGCTGTTACTTAGCAGTTTCTTCTGATACACCACTAAGGAAAGAGAGCCTTACAGGATTGTGCTGTGATTTCTTTGTAGAACCAGTTTTTCATAAGCTGCGCTGATGACAAGGTTGTCTTCAACAAGGTGGGCGACGCCATTGTCCAGAGGATCCTGAAAGCTCACAGGTACCATTTTGGCTTTGGTGTAAACTTTTGGATAACGATCTTGCTGCAGATATTTTTATTGGCCAGTGAGAGAACAAGGTGAACCCTCATTCCCTGGGAGGCAGTAAGGGTGCTCAGCCAGTGTTAGGTTATGGACTGGTTTCATCTAAGTCCATTTGCTGAGAATGTTGGAGTCCATTGTGGTGGGATTGATTTTTCCAGGGCACCAGTTTTCTGCCAGTCTCTTTCCCACGCCGGAGGTTTGTGGTTTGATTTATTTAATGGCAGATAGTAAACTACGTCATTTATAAACAAAGCAAAGTAGATATCATTATTATTTTTGTCATGGGTTATATTTAAATTCTTATTTCCGGCAGTCTTAATTTTTTAGCCCATGAGATTATGAGTGTGTGCTCGTGTGTGTGTGTGTGTGTGTGTGTGTGTGTGTGTGTGTGTGTGCTCTAGTTATAGGGCTTGAACCTAGGACCTAGGCACTGTCCTTGGGCTTCTTTTGCTTGAGGCCAATGCTCTACCACTTGAGCCACAGCTCCAATTCTGTTTCTTCATGGCCATTAATTGGAGATAAGAGTCTCACAGACTTCCCTGCCCAAGCTGGCTTTGAATCGTGATCCTCAGTTCTCAGCCTCCTGAGTAGTTGGGATTACAAGCATGAGGCACTGACATCCAACTTCATGAGATTACTTTTTAAATAATACTTTTATTGAGATGAACTTCACAGCCTATGCAATCTCCCTCTTAAACTGAATACTTCAATGATTTTCAGTGAATCTCTTATTCAGGCACCCCAGAAAGAAAGCCTATCCCCATGAGCAGTCACACCCTGGTCCCTCCTTCCTGGAGCCAGCCCTCAGCAACCATTAGTCCAAATTCCTTTTCTGTCAGTGTTGATCTGGGCATTTCATATACCTGGACTCATGCCATATGGATCACTTATAACTGTAGTTTTCAAGACACAGTATTTTCTTTTTCTTTTTTGGGGTCCAGTCATGGGGCCTGAACTCTGGGCCTGGGCACTGTCCTCAAGGCTAGCGCTCTACCACTTGAGCCACAGCGCCACTTCCGGCTTTTTTTTTCTGCTTATGTGGTGCTGAGGAATCAAACCCAGGGCCTCAGGCATGCAAGGCAAGTGCTCTACCACTGAGCCACCTTCCCAGCCCAAGACACAGTATTTTCAAGGCTCATCTGTTACTATTTGTTTTTCATTGCCACATAATATTCTATTATGTGAATATGCCACACTTTATTTACGTATTCATCAGCTGGTGAATGTTCAGTTTGTTTCTGCTTTGGGGCTATTATGAATAATGTTGCTATAAACAGTCTATACTGGTTTTTATGCAGATGTCTTACTGTGTTTGCAGAGGTGGAATTACAGCTCATAGGTCTTTCTGTTTAACCTGTGGAGGAGCTGTCAGGGCCCCTTCCAAAACACTCACACCATTTTACAGTCCTACAGTGTGCGGAAGTGTTCTCTGTACGATTGCTAATTAATTTCATCATTGCCACTGAACAAGGTGTGAAGTGGTATTTTACTGTGACCTTTTTATTGAATTTCCCTATTGACCAAATGATACTGGCTATCATTTAGTGTGCTTATTGGCCATTTGTGTATCATCCATGAAGAAAAATCTGTTCAAATACTTTGCCCATTTTTTTTCATTGAGTTCTTGCTTTTTGTTTAATTTTGTATTTTGTTTAATTCAGAAGATTGTACAAAGGGGTTACAATTTCACATGTCCCTCTTAAGTTTCCAGTGCTTCCTGTTCAGAGTCCCTCCCTCCGCCATCCTCCTTCCTGTCTGATCCCTTCTCCAGGCTCATTTCATTTCCCACTTCCTTTATCACATGTGCACATTGAGTATTCGGGCTATATATGTCCTATTCTCTTTTCCATTCATCCACACACACCCCCACTGCTACTCTTCTTACCATCATGTTCAATTTCTTGATGCTCATTTTGTTAAACTCTTAATTGTTTAAAAGGTTTGCTCCATGGAGATTCACTCCTGTATATGCTGCACTTACTAGCTGGTGCTTTACCAGTTGAGCCACCCCTACAGAATAGCTTTTTGCTGCTTATTTTGGAGATGTCTCTTGGACCTTCTTCTCCAGGACTGGCTTCAAGCCACAATTTTCCAGATCTCAGTTTCCTAAGCAGTTAAGATTACAAGCATGAGCCACTAATGCTTGGCTATTCATCTACTTTTTAAAGAAAGTTACTGTGGGATCTGTTCCTGAAATGACTTAATAACAGCCTTGTTTACAGTTAGGAATGTATGAATGCATAGAGATTTCTTATATCCTTTCCAGTCTCTCAGTTCTGGCTGCCAGTTCTACAGTGCAGTTCATGTGGACCTTACATCATTGAATTATCCTCTCGCGAACTCTTCCATTTCATTGATACATGCTTACTTGCTTTATTTATGAAGCACAGTTAGCAAAAAAGAGGAAAAAAATGTGATCTTCAATTAGGTCCCAAACATACATTAAGGAGACAAAGGAATTCAGTGGATTGAACCATGAGGGGTACTTTTGGAACTGTGATCAGCTAATAGGTAGAGTAGGATGAACTTGAACTTCATCTCCTTTCTCAGTCCCTGACAATAAATGGTAAGATCTGGATTTATGTGTTTGAAAGGCAGAAAGAACATGCATCTTCTCCACATGAATTTGTCTCTCAAAATCCAGAGTTATGCTAGGTGCTGGTGGCTCACACCTGCTATTCTAGCTACTCAGGCAGATAGGATCTGAGGATGGTGGTTTGAAGCCAGCCCAGGCAGGAAAGTTTGTGAAATTCTTATTTCCACCTATCTACCAAAAAAAGGCAGCAGTGGAGTTATGGTTCGTGTGGTAGGGTTCTAGCCTTATAAAAGCTAAGGGACAGTGTCCAGGTCCTGAGTTGATTCCTCAGGACTTGCATTAAAAAAAATAAAATCCAGAGTTCCTATAAAATCCTAGTATTTTAGGACAGGAGCTTTGAGGTAGTTTACAATGAAACATTTCCCAGGGATCTCATGAGCTGCTCCTGGAAATGACAGGGTGCATGACAAAATTGTGGTAAGGTAGCATCTGTCCCACATCCCACCTCCTGCATGGAGGCTCACAGGCCACGCTGAGTGCTCTGACAGTTTCAAGCTACTCTGTTCCCATGTTCGACATGGGACATGAGTACATCACATTTCATTGAGAGACCAAGGCTCAATTTCTCTGTTCCCAATGGTAGGTGTATCTCACTTGCCTTGGATGCTCCTGATTCCTGGAAACAAACATATTCTATTCTGTCCTTTACTCTATATCCCACACCATTCTTCCTCTCCATGGTAATAGCAACTGAATTTTTCTTCTTAATAACTTGAAATCTGAGCCAGGTTCTGGTGACTTAATGCCTGTCATCCTAGCTACTCAGGATGCTGAGATATGAGAAGCTCAGTTCAAAGCTATGGTGGGCACAAAAAAATCATGAGACTACCTAGTCTCCAGTTAACCAGCAAAATGCCAAGAGTGAAAGTGTGGCTAAAGTGTTAGGGTGCCAGCCTTAAGTGAAAATGCCAAAGAAGAGCTAAAGGCCTTGAGTTCAATTCCCAGTACCAGCAGTGCACACATACACAAATAACTTGAAATTGTGAGCTGATATTCGTAGACAAAGTCCAGGCTAAGTTACAAAGCTCACCTAGGAAGCTGCCTACAGCCACATACCTCCTGTTCACTAACGAGGGCCATGACATGCCACCCCCGAACTCAGGGCTCAGTTCCTTCACAGGCATCTCTGTTCTCAACCCATCTGAGTGAGACTCACAACATCCCTGCCAAAGTCACATTCTTAGCAACAAGGGTAATTGAACTGTTGGACAAAACAGAATCCAGAATAAAGCAAATGGAGGGAAAGGAGAGTCAGGAATGAGCCAGACCTGACCAAGGAATGCCAGCCCTGGTCCAGACCCCTCCTACCACCTAGAGCTCTGGGCCTTTAAACTGCCTCCACCCTCCACTGGCCACGCACCTTGTCTTCTCTATTGCTGGAACCCCACCTTCCATGCTTCTAAGCACTTGCCTTCCCCACTTCATGGCTTTCTAGTTCCTTCTCAAGAGCTGGGATTCTCTAGAATCTCTTGACATAAGGTCTCTAGATTCACAAGGTAGCCATGGCGGGGGGGGGTGTGCCTGGGACCCTCAAATCTGTCTCTGGGGGTGTAGGGTGTAGGCATGTCTACAGGTTAGGACAACAGGGTTCTGAGGGGGGAAGGAGATTTGGAGGTGGAGAAATGAACTGTGATTATCAGCCTGTGCAATCCTAGCCCAACTCCCTAGCTCCTAGTAGGATAAGGTGCAAGAAAAGGTGGGGTTCGTATGCTCACAGAGTGGAGTTTTTCCGCCCCAGGCCCAAATTTCAGGACCCAAGTTAGATCTGACCACTTGCCCCCTAATGCCAAATAAAGAGACATGGTGATGGACAGAAAAAGGAGATTGGTAACACAGCAACCATGAAAGAATAAACTTCAACACATCCTAAGAATACTAGAGAATAGTGGATCATTTTCCCTTTCTCCACGTAGTCTTAATCCTGGGGTGTATCTAGGCATGCTGAGGGACTGCAACACAGGAAGATTTAAGGCTGTGGCCTGAGAGTGGCCAGTTACTTTGCCAGGAACTGATCTGGGTGATAGATTAGCCAGATTATATATTAGGGGCTGCCAGAGCACTGTGATATGTATTCATTCTAGCCTGAGGGGTGTGTGGGGTGGGGTGGGGGGGAATGTGTGAAGGAGGCTGGCACCATCCCTTTCCATTGTAATCGATCTCACCAGCCAATGGCTTGGAATAATTTAGGCCACGCCCACACTCTTAGTTGCCTAGCACCTCCTTGGATTCCACTCTGGCTCACAGGACCAACAGCTGTAGGAGACAGACTTAGTTAATGGTACTTGTTGGAACCACGGTGATTAAGGTGATTGCAGAGGTTCTGGGACTGTGCCCCCACTTTACCAGTCCCATTCCCAAATG